TGTTGAACTCCATGAGGTTTGCACAGTCCCACCTCTCCAGCCTGTCCAGGTCCCTCTGGGTGGCACAGCCCTTCCCTCCAGCTTGGTGTTGTCGGTGAACTTTCTGAGGGTGCGCTCAATCCCACTGTTCATGTCACCAAGAGATGTTAAACAGCGCTGGTCCCAACACTGACCCCTGAGAAACGGCACTTGTCACTGCTCCCAACTTGGACACTGAGCCCTTGACTGCAATTCTTTGAGTGTGACCCTCCAGCCAATTCCTTATCCACTGAGTGCTCCATCCATCAAATCCACACATCTCTCCAATTTAGCAAACAGAATGTCATGCAGGACAGTGTCAAATGCTTTACACAATTCCAAGTAGATGACGTCAGTTGCTCTTCCCTTATCCACAAATGCTGTAACACCTTTGTAGGTGGCCACTGAAATTGTCAGGTATGATTTGCCCTTAGTGAAGCCATGTTGGCTGTCACTAATCACCTGCTTATTTTCTTAAAGACTCTTCAGGACTTATCTTCTGCCCTCTCAACCTCTCATGGGCTACAGGGGAGTCACTGCTTTGGCACAACTTCCCCTCTCCTCCTTCTCCTTTCTTCCACTGACCTTAGTGTTTGCATAGGTATCTCACTCACAACTCCCCCTCCCCTCTAATTCCCCTTCTTAAACATTTTATTGCAGAGGCGTAGCCACCATCACTAATTGGCTTGGCTTTGAACCAGTGGTGGGTCTTGAAGCTGAGGGAGCTTCAAGAAGCTTCTCACAGGGGGACACAGCTGTAGCCCCCTCCCCCACTACAAAACTCCCCACTACACACAAACCCAACATAGTGTCCAAGTATAGTTTTCCAGAGGATCTGCTTCATGATGTTGCTGGGCACAGAGGTAAGACTGACTGGCCTGTAGTTCCCCATGTCTTCCTTTTTTCCCTTTTTAAAAATGGGTTTCCCCTTTTCCGGTCAGCAGGAACTTCACCAGACTGCCATGACTTCCCAAACATGATGGATAGTGGCTGAGCCACTTCATCCACCCGTTTCCTCAGGACCCATGGATGTGTCTCATCATGTCCCATGGACTTGTACACATTCAGGTTCCTTTGATGGTCTTGAACCTGATCTTCTCCTAGGCTGGGCAGTTCTTCACTCTCCCAGTCCCTGCCTTTGCCTTCTGCATCTTGGGCGGTGTGGCTGGGGCACTTGTCGGTGAAGACCGAGGCAAAAAAATTTGCTGAGTACCTCAGCCTTCTCCATGTTCCAGGTATACAGGTCTGTTTCCTTCTGGAGAAAGCCCACATTTCCTGAGTTTTCCTTTTATCACTGATGTACCCATGGAAGCTTTCCTTGTTGCCCTTGACATCCCCGGCCAGATTTAATTCTGTCAGGGCTCTGGCCTTCCTAACCTGATCCCTGGCTGCTTGGACAATTTCTCTGTATTCCTCCCAGGCTACCTGTCCTTTCTTCCACCCTCTGCAGGCTTCCTTTTTGCGTTTGAGCTTGTCCAGAAACTCACTGTTCATCCCTGCAGGCATCCTGGTGTTCTTACCCAACTTCCTCTTTGTTGGAATGCATCACTCCTGAGCTTGGAAGGGGTGATCCTTGAATATTAACCAGCTCCCTTGGGCTCCTCTTCCCTCCAGGGTTTTATCCTATGCTACACTGCCAAGCAGATCCCTGAAGAGGCCAAAGTCTGCTCTCCTGAAGTCCAGGACAGTGAGATAGGATGTGATGCCTTTTTTTCATAGCAACTGGATGGCTCTCTGAGCCTCTCAGTGGCCTCTGCCGTTTCTGGGCTCCCATTGCCACCACTGGCTGAATCTACCTGCTTGTGCCAATTCTCTGAATGTGCTGTTGCAGACACTGGGGTCAAACCCAGGAGCTCTTTTGCTGTCACCAGAGTTGAGCATGGATGTGCTGGAGGCCCTGGTTAACATTCTGTTCTTAATAACTGAAGTTACTGAGGTCTCCACACTTCTGGAGTTCACTTGCTACTTAGGTATTGATCAACTTGTCTAGGAAGAATTCCTAACCAGGACTCTTCAAAATAATTCCAAAACTGAAAAGGTATGACTTTGAACTCTGTCAGAGCTAAACTGAAAAAATGAAACTTGAACATCATTAAAGACTATAACGGGGTTTTCATTTCTTCTTGTGATTTACACACAACACAGATTAAAATGTAATATTCAGCTGTATAACTATTTTTCATAAATTGTCCTGTAATATACAGTAGTTTTCCTGAACCCCCCCGGTACATATCCAGAGAAATACTGTATAAATATGTTCTTGTTTGAAGTTCTGAGTAAACAGTTGTCTACCTACTGTGACAGTAATTCTATTTTAAAAGATCGAATAATTATATTAATCTATTTATTAGTAGATTCCATACAATCTTAGTGTATGTAGGGGGTGTAGAGGTTACGGGAAAAGATTATTTAGTGAACACTGTTTATTAAATTATCATTTGAAACTCTTAGAGAAGCCACAAGAAGAGATCAAAAGTCAATGTTATTTCCCTTGGTGTAGAAGAAAAGAGTCAACATATGGTACAGAGACTATTATTCATGGATACACATCCAGTGCCTCAAGCAATAAAAACTCTGAGTGCTCCTAATACTGCCATTATCATAACTGTTATTACAATATCTTCCCTTTATTGTCACCATTTTGTCACAGAACCAAACCTCCCTCCCTCCTCCCACACTGCTCTAGTGCCTGTGTGTGAGTGGAATCCCCAGACTTCATATTCTTTACTATCTACATAGCTCTAGCTTTGAAGTTCAGGACCACAACTAATTCTTCTGTCTCTGTTACTGACTTCTCTATCTCTGTGGTGTTCTATAGTTCACCCCATATCATAGCTAACAGCAAACTATCCTAACAACATCAAAGCTTGGGATGGCAATGCCTGTAGCAATGTTTGATTTCCCACATCCTAATCTATCATTTCTGCAGGGCCTGGAAGATTTCCTTTATTACTCTGATTTTGTATTTTTTATACATTGCCTATGACACCAAACTGGGAGGAATGGCTGACATGCCAGTGGGTCATGCTGCCATCCAGAGAGACCCTGACAAGCTGGAGGTATGGGCTCACAGAAAGATCATGAAAGGAACAGTGTAAAGTCTTGCACCTGAGGAATAACCACACCACATACCAGTATATGCTGGGGACAACCCAGCTGGGATGCAGCTTGGCAAGAAAGGCCCTTGGGGTCCTGGTGGATGTCAAGTTGAACATGAGCCGGCAGTGTGATCTTGCAGACAATCAAGTATATTCTGGGCTCTATTGCCAGTGGGTCAAGGGAAGTGATCTTTCCCCTCTCCTCAGCACTGGTTTCCAGTGCTGGGCTCCCCAGTATAAGATAGATGTGGACATACTGGAGAGAGTCCAGTGAAGGCCCTCAAAGGTGATGAAGGGACTGGATCACTTCTCTTATGAAGAGAAGCTGAGCAATCTGGGACTGTTCGCCCTGGGATAGAGAATGCTCAGGGGGATCTCATCAATGTGTATAAATACCTGCAGGGAGGGAGCACAGAGGACAGAGCCAGGCTCTTTTCAGTGGTGCCCAGTGACAGGATGAGGCAATGGGCACTCTGAAACACAGGAGGTCCCTCTGAACATCAGGAAACACTTCTTTGCTATGAAGGTGACCAAACACTGGTACAGGTTGCCCAGGGAAGCTGCAGGGTCTCCAACACTGGAGATACTCAAAAGCTGTCTAGACACAGTCCTGGACAACTGTCTCCAGGTGGCTCTGCTTGAGCAGGGAGTTTGGACTAGATCCCTTCCAAACTCAACTGTTCCATTATTCTGTGGTTCTGTGACTTCCGTAGGTTTATTTTTATTTTTTTTTTTAAATCCCTGACGTGCCATTAGATTTCTGTAGCTCTATATTCATTGATAGCTGTATGAGTTTCTCAATTATTAACACAAAATGGTTAATGAAGCAGTATTGATTCAATTACCAACAGGTTGCTATTAATGAGAAAAGTGTTCATAAAAGTAAGGTTACAACTGGTCACTGAACATTGCATAGCATGTAAAATATGATGCTGCCTGTCGTGACAAGAGACACAGACGGTTAAATGTAGTGTTCCAAGAGCACAGAGAAGGTCTTACACAAAATGATAATGAGCTTTACAGAGTAGGTTTATTGTTATAGTGTTAATGGGGAATATCAGAGATGCAAGTTTATTTCTCTTCTCTGCCTGAAGGGTTTTAAACCCACATCAATTACCTCACAGCAGAATGCCCCTATTACCAGTCTGTAAAATACTCTGGGGTAGGACTTCCTGAGTCCCTCTGTTAAAATTGTTCCACCTGGGATGAATCAATAACTATTTATTAGAGAATAAACTAGAACCCATTCTCCCTGTCTCATCCCAAATGGGCTGCAGTCTTGTATTCTCAACCAACAGGCCAATGAATATTTAATTATCTCATGCAAAGTGCAGTAGCTTCCACTGAAATATACAGCTTCATTCCATAATACATTTTAGCCTAGTTCTTAATATATTTTTCTCATGAAAGACTGATAATAAGGGCTGGAGTCACTAGATGAGCAATTTCAACTCGTATCTCTCATATTCTATAGGCAAATGCAGCAATAGTACTCCAAAAAGGAGAATTTTTTTGGGAAAATAAATGAAGTTGCAGAGATAAAATTAAATACTGTATTGTAATATAATATGATGGAGACAAAGTTGCATGAGCAGCCAAAATGCTGGCTTTTCCTATTAGAACTTGACTTTGTAGTTTTAGCATTCTTGCTATAGCTCAGTTGACTTGAAAACATAAATATATTTGACAGTCACAGATACTGTGAATAAAATGGAACTGAAGAGATGGGAAGATACTTTGCAGGAGGGTTCACAAATATATTTTTACCTTTGTTCTTTGGTAAGAAAGGAAATATATAAACAGAAGACATTCAAAATAATATTCGTGTTGTAAAAGTTAAAAGATTCTGGTCATTCTCACTCTGCCTTCTTGTAAATCACTCACCATTGCTTATAATCAGCATCACAGTTGCAGTAGTACTTGGGATCCGTACAGTTGCGTTCGATGCCGCAGGCACATTTTTGAATGCCAGGTCCTGATCCGCCCCAATAGTAGTGCTTCTCATTGGCTTTTCCAACCCACCAGGTATATGGATTCCCTTCTGCAAGGAATGAAAATGCAAGGTTATGATGCATCAAAGAGGTAGAGTTCCATAAGGCATTAACTAGGCTCAGGTGTTTAATATGCAGATGTTAACACCACATAACTGGACAGCCATCCCACACTTCTGGCAAAAAAACATTCATTATTATTGAGCAATACAAAGGACCTTGCCAGGTAAACAAAACACACTTTTTTTTTTTTTTCTGTATTCAGGCAATTGATAATGATTGAAATTAATTAAATATTTTTTATCTTGTAAGCTCTTCATTTAGCTTTTTAATTGTTCTCCATTTATATAATGAAAGTATGTGGGCAGGTTCCATAAATATTTCAATTAATTTCAAATTCATATAGTAAGCTATCAGATGGATTATTCAATATTTGACCACAAATGCTACACTTTTTTTTTTTTTTTTTTTTTTTTTTTTAATAACAGCTTTTAATTGGAAAATTAATCTTTCTTCACTGGAAGACAAACATGTTCATTATGTTCTCTCCAGCTGGTCCAAAGTGAAGTGTAAAGACATATTATCAAACTTCAAAAGCATCTTAACCATTTTAAAAAAATGTATAAATTTTTTTATTTAATACTTGAGCGAAGGTGATCTGAATTTTGATACAGTAATATTTCTTGGCATTGGGTCTGTTACTTGCTATTTTCATATACTGCTCTAAGTTTATTTCTAATGGTTTTAGACTAACTAAGCCTCTTATGTGTAAATAAACAAACAGCCTCTACTTTAATTTCTACTTTGAAAAAACACCCTTACCGAAAAGTTTCTTTTTGTTCCTCCAGTTCAGCAAGAGACAGTTATGAGTTTTACTTCAAACCTATGTGAATAACTCAATCAATCTCAATGTACTTAGTGATTTTTCACATTTAGAAAACATGATTGAACTCAGTTTATAAACATGTTTCTTTAATATTCTGCTTTCAGTAATTTCCCGTTTGTGTATCTCACTTATTCATCTCCGAAAACCTACCTCCATAACACTAAAAATAGCCATTTCACAATTAGATTTCATCATCTAGGCCATAAATCTATTTATTCCAGACATATGTTGAAAGCAATTCACACAGAACTCTAAAAAAAAAAAAAAATAAAATTCCAGAGATGGAGAGAGCAACCAAATATCTGCACACGTTAAAACGCCACCAAACCCAAAAAGACATAGCTCTCTGAAAACACTTGCTTTGTTCAATTCTTTTGAATTGTTAAACATCATATAAAATAACACTATTGAAAATACAGTAATGTGAAAAATTCATGGCGGCCGAAGGTTTTTATTAGATGTTACTATACTGCACAGTACAACCATTCAGCTCTAGTGCTAATGCAATGGGTATGGTAATAGCATGACTTGATTCTAGATTCTAAATTGGTCATTTTAGCATCTGTGACTCAATTGTGGAACTAAGCTCTGTAAGTTAGAAGAGTGTGCTGTGTGAATGCTGCAGCAGCGTTTCCACCCTGCAATACAATCTGTCAGAGATGAGAGTACATAGCCCTGGCTTCCAAATGATTATTTAATAAGCATGTAAGGGTAAATGTTATCTTTCCACAGTGAATGACAGATTCATTTTTATTGATGAAGGATCAAACTACAGCATTAATGATATTTGAAGCTCCTGTTGTATTTTTTTTTTTCCCTCTGTCATCTTTGAAGTTAGTTTTTATGCTGTAGTGGGAATGCTATAGTTTTGACTGTTAGTCAAAACTCTCTTTGTTTACACCCTTCCTGTCAAGTGAAGGATTGCACGATTCAGTCAGCAAACACTTCGCTGGGAAGCAAAACTGCTAATTAAAGCACCAGAAGAAAACAAATTACTTAGGATTGTCAAAAAAAGGATTAAAAATTCAGAAACAGGTAGAAATGATTAAAGCAAGAATAACAGACTACAGTGATGGGTGTCACAGACCACCATGACAGACACGAACAGGACATGTTTTAACTCATTTAAAAGACAAATGGCATACAGTTCTAAACTCAGAAGGTATTCTTGTGTAGACAGAGCCATTTTTCACATCTATTGTTTTCAGTGTTCATAGATACTAGCTAGGCATCTGTCCCCATTTGGATGCATTCTTCTTCACTCTAAAGAAAAGACCTACCCGCAGGCTTGGGAACACAAATGAATACTAACGTGTATGATTAAATTTCCAGAAAGGTCAAGGAGGAAGCATACAATTCTAGGGGGTTTGCATTCAGCACATATTCTGCTAGCCACCCCCACAACCAGTAGTTCCATCACTGCCCTTGTGGACATCATCAGTGGTCTGTAATTGCCCAACACATTGTGCTAGGGCTTGCAACAGAGGGGCTCTTCGCAGACAGCTCTCACTAGCTGGATACGATGCAGCGTGGCAGACTTTCTGTTAGGACAGAACACCATGAACTGGAATAGGATGAGCCTCACACCAGACTACCCCGCACCTCAGTGGTCATATAAGTGGTTCTAGAACTCCTTGATAGACTATGGTTAATAAAAGAAAAGTGTGGGGAGGCATGGTAGTGTCCCATTTGCTTCATGTCAGCCAAATGAGAACAGCCCTTTGCAGCCTTCCTGCTTCACCTCAGTCAAGAAAAAGATGGGCTGCATTTTTTCTGGAGTTCATAAGTCCCAAATCAGGAATGCTATGCAGATATATTGCAGACACCACTATGACTGGGCATAACAAATAGTAAAACTGTTCTTTGGAGAGACTAAAATAATAATAGAAAAGAAAGGCTAGAAGGGATAATGATGTTTCATGCAGGTAAAAAAAATATTTAGAAATAGGATCACTCTTCTCTCACACCTCACCATCTTTTATACCTCCCTATTCTCCATCTGAGGATGTGAATCCTTTTGCTTTTTTTTTTTTTTTTTTTTTTTTTTCTGCTTTGGAAGGTTGGAAAGGGTACTCCGACATAAACACTGCTCATTAATGGATATAATTCTAAGCATCAGAGTATTTTATAACACCTTTTTTTCTGCTAAAATATCAATACTATTGGTTTTATGGCATTAAAAGTATATAAATTCGATTTAAGGACAAAAAACAGAGGAAGAAAAAAGTTCTATATAAAAGTTGTCCAGTGTATTGTGATAACAAGTAATACCAATATATATTTTTTTTTGGTTTTGAAGTTATCTTTTCTTACCATAGGAACAAAGTTTTGTGTTATGGGATAGGATTTTTTGTTGTCATTGATCTACTACTTTATTCTCTCCAAGGTTTTGTGGACAAATAGCATCATGAGCAGCCGGGCAGATAACCTCTGCCTGCCTTGGGATTTTGGTTAGTCAAGTTTTGATGCAGAACTACTCTTTGGGCACAAAATAGGTCTCCTTCAAGGGCTGCTGTAGGAAATGTTTCATATGTACTGAGTCATAACCAGGATGCCTCTCTATTTCCCTTCTTGAAGAAAATCCATTTGCAAGGTGCTGTGTGCTTATTACTCAGCCCCTTTGCGGAATGGTGGTATCAGAGTAAGATGTGGATATCAATAAAATGGACAAAGATAGACAGCTTTTAGGAGGTTCATTAACCTTACAGCCAAAGATAATAGCTGTGGTATGAGAACGGTCTTCTAAGGGCAAAATCGTAGAATCATAGAATCGTTCAGGTTGGAAAAGACCCTTGGGATCATCAAGTCCATCTATCAGCCTGACTCCACAAAGTTCTCCCCTGCACCATAGCCCCCACCGTCTCATCCAAACGACCCTTCACCACCTCCAGGGATGGTGACTGCAGCCCTTCCCTGGGCAGCCTATTCCCCTGTCTGAGCACTCCTTGTGGGAAACCTTTTCTCCACATGTCCAGTGTAAACCTCCCTGTTGCAGCTGAAAGCCATTCCCTCTTGTTCTGTCGCTAAGGACCTGTGAGAAGAGACCAGCACGAGGGTCTCTCCAGTGTCCTTTCAGGGAGGTGTAGAGAGTGCTGAGGTCTGCCCTCAGCCTTCTCCTCCTCAAACTGAACAGTCCCAGCTCCTTCAACTGCTCCTCAGCCTGATCTTATTTTAGTAGGGCATGTGGACAAAGGAGTATGGGCAGAACATCAGATTCAAACCATATTTTTAGTAATTCAGATATACCTCTCTCTCACACACAAAGAAATCTTTAACATTTACATGCAATACTGTTAGCAGTGGTTGCAATAGATCAGCAGTGCTGTACATTGGTTAAAATTAATGCAAAATATAAGTTCTTATTTAAATCCATATGCAATGTTAGCCCAGATTCGCAGTTATTCCATCAAAGCATGTCAAGAATCTGGTCATCAAGTGTTTTCTTTCAATAAGTGCTCCCCCTCTACAGAATATTCAGAAACAAAAAGTAAAGGACTAAGGGAACTTCTTCGTATTCTCACAGATCTTTGAGTGTCATAAAAAAGTGATTCCCTTTTCATCTCATAAATGTAGCTTTGTGTGAACCACTTCATTTAATATAAAAACATACCCAACAAAAGTTAATGTAGTATGAACAGAACTCTTAACACTCAATAATATATTTATTTCTAATGTAGCCAAACAGTCTTAAAATGTATAACTTTTGAAAGTACACTTTATAGTCTACTAAGAATTTAATAAAACCAATTGGTTTTACTGTTTTTAAATGCAGCTGATTAATTACAATGGCATTACTTTCAATATTTTAGGGCTGTTATTTCAGAGCTGTTCAGTACCAATAACTGAAGCTGCATTACGAAGAGAACTCAGATTAGGGAACAAAATAAAGCGGACAGGTACTCCATGGCACTCTGCAATCAGTAGGCTCCATTCACAATACAGCCTTCAGAGGACTGATGACTGTATTTCTCATTTGTAAACTACCTGGAGAAACTAAATGATTATTTCATACACCATCCTCTCCCCGTAGCAAATTCTCTTCCAGTCTCTTCATTATTCCTTCACTAAATGACAGCACTTCTTGCAACAAGGATCTGCAAAGCCTGGCTTACTCCCATGGCTACTGAAGGAAGACTGGAAGTGTGTTGCTGCTGCTGAAAGGAA